TTATTATTATTATTATATTAACACGGTAACATGAAAATAAACGTAAATTAAAAACACGTGCTGACGTCACTCAGAGAAATGACGGAGTAACTTCAGATGCAGTGATTTCTTCAGTTTTAGTGAAGTTTGCGCCGAAACAACACGGACCGAGCTCGGAACTTTTCAACAGAACGTGACGCCATCCTGGATACGTCTGCGCGCGTGCTGACTCCTGCTGCTCCTCCTGCTCCTCTCCTCCTCGTGCGCCTCATCTCTTTGTGCTCCTCTCCTCCTCCTCTTTCCTCCTCCTCCTCCTCTCCTCCTCGCGCACATGTTGTGGTGACTCGGCGTCGCATTGTTGCAGGTGCATGACACGACAACGGTCTTGGATTTGGCTTTAGGGGAAGTTACAAGCTTTGCACGGGCGCGATATCCCTCTCTCCCCCTCCCTCCCCCTCTCTGCCTCCCTCCCCCTCTCCCCCTCCCCCCCTCTCCGCTCTCTCCCTCCTTCCCTCCATCATCCTCCATCCATCCACTACCTCCGTGTAAAACAACAGCCACTCCCCAGTCCCAGAGCGGGTCCCGCGGCTGTGGCTCCTCCTGTTCCTCCTGCTCCTCCTGCTCCTCCTGCTCTTCCTGCTCCTCCTGCTCTTCCTGCTCCTCCTGCTCCTCCTGCTCTTCCTGCTCCTCCTGCTCTTCCTGCGCCTCCTGCTCCGCTGTAGAACCAGAGACGGGACGATGACAGAGATTCAGATGAAAAGCATGTGGACCATGTGGGTTTCCTGGTTTCTGGTTTTATTCTCACGTCCTGGAGTTTACAAAGATACAGTTCAGAGTCTTAATGACGGCAGAAAGAACGTAGCACCGCAGATGGACCAGAGGGGTCTGGGTCTGGGTCTGGGTCTGGTCTAGTTTTCACAACCTGGTTTTCAGTCAGAAGGCGCTAAAAAAGACACATTTTGCCAAATTTGAGCCATTTTTTTGCAGTGAATATAATAAACTAAATCCCACATGGTCCTGGTTTGATCATTTGGATTGAAATGTGTGAAAGAGAGAACCCTCCCTCAGCCAATCAGAGAGTCCAATACTGACTCACAGGGTTCTTCTGTACCTGTGTGCTTCTGTACCTGTGCTCTGCTGTACCTGTGTGCTTCTGTACCTGTGGGCTCTGCTGTGCCTGTGTGCTTCTGTACCTGTGCTCTGCTGTACCTGTGTGCTTCTGTACCTGTGCTCTTCTGTACCTGTGTGCTTCTGTACCTGTGCTCTGCTGTACCTGTGTGCTTCTGTACCTGTGGGCTCTGCTGTGCCTGTGTGCTTCTGTACCTGTGCTCTGCTGTACCTGTGTGCTTCTGTACCTGTGGGCTCTGCTGTGCCTGTGTGCTTCTGTACCTGTGCTCTTCTGTACCTGTGTGCTTCTGTACCTGTGCTCTTCTGTACCTGTGTGCTTCTGTACCTGTGCTCTTCTGTACCTGTGTGCTTCTGTACCTGTGCTCTTCTGTACCTGTGTGCTTCTGTACCTGTGTGCTTCTGTACCTGTGTGCTCTGCTGTACCTGTGGGCTCTTTTGTACCTGTGTGCTTCTGTACCTGTGCTCTTCTGTACCTGTGCTCTTCTGTACCTGTGCTCTTCTGTACCTGTGTGCTTCTGTACCTGTGCTCTTCTGTACCTGTGTGCTTCTGTACCTGTGTGCTTCTGTACCTGTGCTCTTCTGTACCTGTGCTCTTCTGTACCTGTGCTCTTCTGTACCTGTGTGCTTCTGTACCTGTGCTCTTCTGTACCTGTGTGCTTCTGTACCTGTGTGCTTCTGTACCTGTGCTCTTCTGTACCTGTGCTCTTCTGTACCTGTGCTCTTCTGTACCTGTGTGCTTCTGTACCTGTGCTCTTCTGTACCTGTGTGCTTCTGTACCTGTGTGCTTCTGTACCTGTGCTCTTCTGTACCTGTGCTCTTCTGTACCTGTGCTCTTCTGTACTTGTGTGCTTCTGTACCTGTGCTCTTCTGTACCTGTGTGCTTCTGTACCTGTGTGCTTCTGTACCTGTGTGCTCTTCTGTACCTGTGCTCTTCTGTACCTGTGCTCTTCTGTACCTGTGTGCTCTTCTGTACCTGTGCTCTTCTGTACCTGTGCTCTTCTGTACCTGTGTGCTCTGCTGTACATGTGTGCTTCTGTACCTGTGGGCTCTTCTGTGTGCTTCTGTACCTGTGAGCTCTACATGTTTTATAACTACATAGGTTGATCTGCTGTGGTCTGACACACACGCACACACGCACACGCGCACACGCACACGCACACACACACACAGACACACACACACGCACACGCACACACAGACACACACACACACACACACACACACGCACACGCACACGCACACACACGCACACGCACACACGCACACACAGACACACACACACACACACACACACGCACACACGCACACGCACACGCACACACACGCACACGCACACACACGCACACGCACACGCACGCACACGCACACACGCACACACAGACACACACACAGATAATAACAGCTGCACAGTGTTGGCAAAATGTGACATTTCTGAAGTGATGTTGACGCTCCTCCTCTGGGTGTAATTTGCTTGTTCTCCTCGTTCCTGTGGTGAAGGCTCAGACTCAGTCCAGGACTGAGGCTGTAGACCCAGGACTGAGGCTGTAGACCCAAGACTGAGGCTGTAGACCCAGGACTGAGGCTGTAGACCCAGGACTGAGGCTGTAGACCCAGGACTGAGGCTGTAGACCCAGGACTGAGGCTGTAGACCCAAGACTGAGGCTGTAGAGCCAGGACTGAGGCTGTAGACCCAGGACTGAGGCTGTAGACCCAGGACTGAGGCTGTAGACCCAAGACTGAGGCTGTAGACCCAGGACTGAGGCTGTAGACCCAGGACTGAGGCTGTAGACCCAGGACTGAGGCTGTAGACCCAGGACTGAGGCTGTAGAGCCAGGACTGAGGCTGTAGACCCAGGACTGAGGCTGTAGAGCCAGGACTGAGGCTGTAGACCCAGGACTGAGGCTGTAGACCCAGGACTGAGGCTGTAGACCCAGGACTGAGGCTGTAGACCCAAGACTGAGGCTGTAGACCCAGGACTGAGGCTGTAGACCCAGGACTGAGGCTGTAGACCCAGGACTGAGGCTGTAGACCCAGGACTGAGGCTGTAGACCCAAGACTGAGGCTGTAGACCCAGGACTGAGGCTGTAGACCCAGGACTGAGGCTGTAGACCCAGGACTGAGGCTGTAGACCCAGGACTGAGGCTGTAGACCCAGGACTGAGGCTGTAGACCCAGGACTGAGGCTGTAGAGCCAGGACTGAGGCTGTAGACCCAGGACTGAGGCTGTAGACCCAGGACTGAGGCTGTAGACCCAAGACTGAGGCTGTAGACCCAGGACTGAGGCTGTAGACCCAGGACTGAGGCTGTAGACCCAGGACTGAGGCTGTAGACCCAAGACTGAGGCTGTAGAGCCAGGACTGAGGCTGTAGACCCAGGACTGAGGCTGTAGACCCAGGACTGAGGCTGTAGACCCAGGACTGAGGCTGTAGACCCAGGACTGAGGCTGTAGACCCAGGACTGAGGCTGTAGACCCAGGACTGAGGCTGTAGACCCAAGACTGAGGCTGTAGACCCAGGACTCAGGCTGTAGACCCAGGACTGAGGCTGTAGACCCAGGACTGAGGCTGTAGACCCAGGACTGAGGCTGTAGACCCAGGACTGAGGCTGTAGACTCAGGACTGAGGCTGTAGACCCAGGACTGAGGCTGATAATTGTCACATTCTGGCCTGTTCCCAGCCCTGTTCGTTGTACAGTCTGACAAACACATCCTGATGTCACACACGACTATTGCATCAGTGTTTTTCCTGTTTATGACTTTGGCAAAACACACTTTAGTTCAGCTGTGTTTAGCCTTTGGTAACCGCGGCGACGGCGGCGCTCGGGGTCAGAGTTTTTAGACCGTTTTCTGCTATTATTAAAAAGTGGTGAAATGGACGAACAGAGACAGAGAAGAAGAAAGGTCACAGAAAACATCAGAGAGTTTAGGAGCACGGAGCACAGAGTCAGGGTTTCTCTTGTTTTCTACTCTCTCACAGATGTTTTAAATCACGGGGCACCAAACTATAGCTAAGGAGCTACCACTAGCTCTCCAGAGGACTCAGAAACAAGCCCCGGTGATCCAAGATGGCGTCCTGTTCAAATGAACGGCTTGTGCTCAGTCGTTCATGGGACTTCACAGAGACCGAGAGATTAGAGGAACTCGCCCATATTTGGGCATCGTCTGGTCCTCCTGGTTACACGCCAAATACTCGTGTGTGGCTTGGCCACGCTCTGACCAATCAGAGGGCAGCGTTCTGACCAATCAGAGCAGCGGTAGAGCGGAGTCAGAGCGGGAAGGAAAGGAGCAGAGTTTGTGGCAGTAAAGTGTGGATTTAAAGAAAACTGAAGGATTTAAGAAGAAAAAAAGTTCAGGACGACAAGGGACACTAACATCCCCACAAAATCTGATCTTTGTGAAAGCTGTAGGTTCTCTGTCAGGTTCTCTGTCAGGTTCTCTGTCAGGTTCTCTGTCAGGTTCTCTGTCAGGTTCTCTGTCAGGTTCTCTGTCAGGTTCTCTGTCAGGTTCTCTGTCAGGTTCTCTGTAGGTTCTCTGTCAGGTTCTCTGTCAGGTTCTCTGTCAGGTTCTCTGTCAGGTTCTCTATCAGGTTCTCTGTAGGTTCTCTGTCAGGTTCTCTGTCAGGTTCTCTGTCAGGTTCTCTGTCAGGTTCTCTGTCAGGTTCTCTATCAGGTTCTCTGTAGGTTCTCTGTCAGGTTCTCTGTCAGGTTCTCTGTCAGGTTCTCTGTCAGGTTCTCTGTCAGGTTCTCTATCAGGTTCTCTGTAGGTTCTCTGTCAGGTTCTCTGTCAGGTTCTCTGTCAGGTTCTATGTCAGGTTCTCTGTCAGGTTCTCTGTCAGGTTCTCTATCAGGTTCTCTGTAGGTTCTCTGTCAGGTTCTCTGTCAGGTTCTCTGTCAGGTTCTATGTCAGGTGCTCTGTCAGGTTCTCTGTCAGGTTCTCTTTAGGTTCTCTGTCAGGTTCTCTGTAGATTCTCTTTAGGTTCTCTGTCAGGTTCTCTGTCAGGTTCTCTGTCAGGTTCTCAGTCAGGTTCTCTGTAGGTTCTCTGTCAGGTTCTCAGTCAGGTTCTCTGTCAGGTTCTCTGTCAGGTTCTCTGTCAGGTTCTCTGTCAGGTTCTCTGTCAGGTTCTCTGTCAGGTTCTCTGTCAGCTGAGGTCGTGCTGTTTTAGTTTACATTGAGTTCTATGGGACTTTTTCTGGATAGCCCTCGTGAATGTAGTCTGCAGTACCACAGGCATTATTATAGATGACTGCTAACTGCTAACAGTGAGCTAGCTAACAGCGCCTCGCAGCAAGCTCCCACCTCCCTCCTCTCTCCTCCCTCCTCTCTCCTCCCTCCTCTCTCCTCCCTCTCCTCCTCTCTCCTCCTCCTCTCTCCTCCCTCCTCCCTCCTCCCTCCTCTCCCTCCCTCCTCTCCCTCTCTCCTCCCTCCTCTCTCCTCCTCCTCCTCCTCTCTCTCCCTTCTCCTCTCCTCCTCTCCTCCTCTCCTCCTCTCTCCTCCCCTCCTCCTCTCCTCCCTCCTCCTCCTCCCTCCTCTCTCCTCCCTCCTCTCTCCTCCCTCCTCTCTCCTCCCTCCTCTCTCCTCCCTCCTCCCTCCTCTCTCCTCCCTCCTCTCTCCTCCCTCCTCCCTCCTCTCCCTCCTCCCTCCTCCCTCCTCCCTCCTCTCTCCTCCCTCCTCCCTCCTCCTCCTCCTCCTCCTCCTCCTCCTCCCCTCCTCCTCCTCCTCCTCCCTCCTCCTCCTCCTCCTCCTCCTCCTCCTCCTCCTCCTCCCTCCTCTCTCCTCTCCTCCCTCCTCTCTCCTCCCTCCTCCTCCTCTCCTCCTCCTCCTCTCTCCTCTCCTCTCCTCCTCTCCCTCCCTCCTCTCTCCTCCCTCCTCTCTCTCCCTCCTCCTCCTCCCTCCTCCTCCTCTCTCCCTCCTCCTCTCCTCTCTCCTCCTCCTCCTCCTCTCCTCCTCTCTCCTCCCTCCTCTCTCCTCCTCCCTCCTCTCCTCCTCCTCTCCTCCTCCTCTCTCCTCCCTCCTCCTCTCTCCTCTCTCCTCCTCTCTCCTCTCCTCCTCCTCTCCTCTCTCCTCCCTCCTCTCTCCTCCTCCTCTCTCCTCTCTCCTCCCTCCTCTCTCCTCCCTCCTCTCTCCTCCCTCCTCTCTCCTCTCTCCTCCCTCCTCCCTCCTCTCCTCTCTCTCCTCCCTCCTCTCTCCTCTCTCCTCTCTCCTCTCTCCTCCCTCCTCCCTCCTCCCTCCTCCCTCCTCTCTCCTCTCTCCTCCCTCCTCTCTCCTCCCTCCTCTCTCCTCCCTATTCTCTCTTAGTCCGGTTCTGCCTGAATCCATTTGTCTAAAAGGTTTTGACTGAGAGCAGAAGCTTCAGCCGATGGACGGAAAATGTAGTTTGAAAGAGAAAACACAATCTGAGAATCGACTGGAGCACGGCAACAAACAAAACACTTTTATATTGTTTTAAAACCGGATCAAAGAGACAGAGAAAGCAACATTTAGATTTAGGGTTTGTTTTATGGCTTGATTTTCTGATCTGTTGTTGGACAATCGACAGTTTTGTAAAGTCCTCTGATAAAATTGCTGTTGTCATTTAGGGCAATACAAAAACACATTGAATTGGATTGATTTTTTCTTTTTGTGTGGGGGGTGCATCGTGCTGTGGGGCTGCTTTTCTTCAGATACACTGTAACATTGATGGGAAGATGGATGGAACCAAATACAGAGACATTTGAGCAGAAAACTGCTACTTTAGGCTTAGACGTGACCTCAGATAAATATCCAACAGTTATGATGTGATGCTTGGACTGTTCTGTAGCAAAGAATGGGAAAAAACCATGTGTCATTCCAGGTCCAAAATGTGGATTATTGATGGTTTACTTTTTGAGTCTGTGTTTAGAATAAAAACTCTGTCTTTGAATATAAAATATTATAGTTTCTCTTGTTCGAACGAAGTTACAAGAAGTCACTGACTCGTTCTGGTAAATGGTTCTGGTATACTGTATGGTTCTGGTACATGGCTCTGGTACATGGCTCTGGTACATGGTTCTGGTACATGGTTCTGGTATACTGTATGGTTCTGGTACATGGTTCTGGTACATGGCTCTGGTACATGGCTCTGGTACATGGCTCTGGTACATGGCTCTGGTACATGGCTCTGGTACATGGTTCTGGTACATGGCTCTGGTAAATGGTTCTGGTACATGGCTCTGGTACATGGTTCTGGTACATGGCTCTGGTACATGGCTCTGGTACATGGCTCTGGTACATGGTTCTGGTACATGGTTCTGGTACATGGCTCTGGTACATGGCTCTGGTACATGGCTCTGGTAAATGGTTCTGGTACATGGCTCTGGTACATGGTTCTGGTACATGGTTCTGGTACATGGCTCTGGTACATGGCTCTGGTACATGGCTCTGGTACATGGCTCTGGTACATGGTTCTGGTACATGGCTCTGGTAAATGGTTCTGGTACATGGTTCTGGTATACTGTATGGTTCTGGTACATGGTTCTGGTACATGGCTCTGGTACATGGCTCTGGTACATGGTTCTGGTACATGGTTCTGGTACATGGTTCTGGTACATGGCTCTGGTAAATGGCTCTGGTACATGGCTCTGGTACATGGCTCTGGTACATGGTTCTGGTACATGGCTCTGGTACATGGTTCTGGTACATGGCTCTGGTACATGGTTCTGGTACATGGCTCTGGTACATGGTTCTGGTACAGGGTTCTGGTACATGGCTCTGGTACATGGCTCTGGTACATGGCTCTCGTACATGGTTCTGGTACATGGCTCTGGTAAATGGTTCTGGTACATGGTTCTGGTATACTGTATGGTTCTGGTACATGGTTCTGGTACATGGCTCTGGTACATGGCTCTGGTAAATGGTTCTGGTACATGGCTCTGGTACATGGTTCTGGTACATGGTTCTGGTACATGGTTCTGGTACATGGCTCTGGTACATGGCTCTGGTACATGGCTCTGGTACATGGTTCTGGTACATGGCTCTGGTAAATGGTTCTGGTACATGGTTCTGGTATACTGTATGGTTCTGGTACATGGTTCTGGTACATGGCTCTGGTACATGGCTCTGGTACATGGTTCTGGTACATGGTTCTGGTACATGGTTCTGGTACATGGCTCTGGTACATGGCTCTGGTAAATGGTTCTGGTACATGGTTCTGGTATACTGTATGGTTCTGGTACATGGTTCTGGTACATGGCTCTGGTACATGGCTCTGGTACATGGTTCTGGTACATGGCTCTGGTACATGGCTCTGGTACATGGCTCTGGTACATGGTTCTGGTACATGGCTCTGGTACATGGCTCTGGTAAATGGTTCTGGTACATGGTTCTGGTAAATGGTTCTGGTACATGGTTCTGGTATACTGTATGGTTCTGGTACATGGTTCTGGTACATGGCTCTGGTACATGGCTCTGGTACATGGTTCTGGTACATGGCTCTGGTAAATGGTTCTGGTACATGGTTCTGGTACATGGCTCTGGTACATGGCTCTGGTACATGGTTCTGGTACATGGTTCTGGTACATGGCTCTGGTAAATGGTTCTGGTACATGGTTCTGGTACATGGTTCTGGTACATGGCTCTGGTAAATGGTTCTGGTACATGGTTCTGGTACATGGCTCTGGTACATGGCTCTGGTAAATGGTTCTGGTACATGGTTCTGGTAAATGGTTCTGGTACATGGTTCTGGTATACTGTATGGTTCTGGTACATGGCTCTGGTACATGGCTCTGGTAAATGGTTCTGGTACATGGTTCTGGTACATGGCTCTGGTACATGGCTCTGGTAAATGGTTCTGGTACATGGTTCTGGTACATGGTTCTGGTACAGGACTCTGGTACATGGTTCTGGTACATGGTTCGGATACATGGTTCGGATACATGGTTCTAGTACATGGTTCTAGTACATGGTTCTGGTACATGGTACATGGTTCTGACGCTGCTCTGGTGTTTGCAGAGGCTTTGATGATAAGAAATAAAAGTGTAGGTTCCACCACCAACCACTCACACACACACCAGACTCACTCTAATGTGGGGGAAGTGTCTTGCCTAAGGACACAACCACAGTTTGGCACTTTACAGCCGCAGCCGCCCCACTGTCTCCCATCATGGTACTAGCCAGGCCCAGACCTACTTAGCTTCGTAGCTCTGACTGTATCTAGCTTACATCTGCAGCTCCATATTAAAGTCTGTCTCTAGAATCTAAAGTGCTTTAATAAACTCTGACTCTTCAATGATGAGTTCTTCACAGACAAATCCTTTTGTTTTAGATTAAGATTAAGGTTATATCCACACGAAGACAAAACGCTTATAATTTCAGAAACTTTTTCTGTAAACACGGAGTTAGCTCAGTAAATGTGTGCGTCCATATGAATGTAGTCAATACGCCTGAAAACGCTGTGAAACTATGCCAGACCTGTTGGTGGCGCTGTGACGCAATGACGGGATCAAGCCCAAACTTCCGTGACGGGAACTGGGCATGCACAGAATTGTGTAAACAGACAACATGGCGAGTGGGCGAGCTGGTACTACATTAGTATGGACGGACGATGAGGTTGAACTGTTGCTTCAGGTCACACTGGATTACAAAACCAACAAGCTACATTGTTGTTGTCATTATTTTCTGAGTGCGGCGCATGCTGCTTTAACAAGAGGCGGGGCGATGACGCGTCTCAGATACATTGCGGAGAGGCAGTAACCACGGAGCGGCATATACGGAGTTTTGAAATCTTTCCACTCTGGGACCTACTTTCAAAAATGTTCGTTTACACCCCCCCAAAACGCCGGCCTCGTATGGACGATACACTGGATTGATAAAGTATTTTTGCGTTTAGGCCTGAGCTTGACTTCGTGTGGACAGGGCCTCATTAGCAGCTATATGATGATTAGATTAAGATTAAGAGATTATTTGTCCCACACCAGGAATACAGACCAGCTACAGACCAGAGGATACATGTGATGCTAACTGACAGTGATGCTAACTGACTGACAGTGCTGCTAACTGACTGACAGTGATGCTA